AATTTATGAATTTCATCTCAAATAACTGTTTTTATTTACTGTTGTAACAATCTAATCATATCTTTAAATTGAGATAGATTATGTAATCAGCAGAATACATATATAAATATATAGTGATACATGGAGGAATTAACTGAATAATTGTTAACCTAACTATTAAAGATAACTTGGACTAAAATCAAACACAGTTCAGAATTTTATCCGAATTCAATCATCATTCTTCAGTACAAAAGTCAGTCTACATTGAATGATCCAAGTAATAATGAGTATCTTGAACACTTGTTCTATTTCTACTTGTTTTGTATTGTAGCAAGTGAAGGGATTATAAGATGACAGAAATAGTTGCCTAGCTTTCATTGATTAAACAAGTGAGCATAAATTCAAGTGAATAAACGTAAGAAAAATCTGTTAACTTATTAAGTTGTTATATCGATTGGATGCGTACGTGTCCAGTTGATATATATGACGTTATAAGACCGCCTATCAGAGAGCAGTGAATTGTCGATCTGAGCACTGATACACAAAAGCCGTATGAGCAGTCTTGACTACTACTATCTGCCTAGCCCAGTCAGTTAAGTCCAGAACACCAATAACAGTCTCTGCAATATGAATCATTATTCTCAAACATACTGGGTTTATATACCAAACAAACTGACCACATCGTACCATAAAATATAAAATAACATTTGTACGAGATTTAGCCAAATGTGGCTGTGAATAGGGGGAACAGTAATTAATGGACTGGGGATAACTCAAGATGCTTGAGACTGGCAGGTCCTGGGTTCGAGTCTCGCTCGCGAGAGCGGGTTCGTGGATGCGCACTGCTGAGGAGTCCCATAATAGGACGAAACGGCCGTCCAGTGTTTCCAGGTTTTTGCCCCCAAATGCCCTGGTACGGCCGAGAGTGGGGAGAGTCACCTCTCCCTCTCGAAATGCTCTCATATGGCCAGCGAATATATAGCCTCTGTCAGGGAAGTCCCACTCACTGCCTTCTCGTGGCGGGGGTGTTGTTTACGAAATTGAGAGGACGAAAAGCGAATGTCCGGCGCTTTAACCGGGTTGATGGACATGGAAAGTTCACCTAGGGGAGTTGGAAAACCCTGATTCCAAACCAATGGTGCACATGGGCTCCAGTATCCTGATGGAACAAATGGCGTACGAATCAACCGTTGATCACCGGCTACCATGGGACTGCATCTCCTCACGATGCTCCACTGCCTTGTGGGTCAGACATTCAGGTCAAAGGCTCGGGGTGTGGCCCCCTAAGAAAACCACCTGCTTCAGTCTGAGCACCTGGGCAGTATCACAGCCCTCACACAAATCAAATGAGATTTGTGAGGCGCATATGTATCTGGTGCTTCCTTGTACCAATATTTATGTGTTTAAATAAATAATAATATAATAATAACTCAAGAATGGTAAATCGTATCATAGTGGTCTATAGGTCAAAATAAAGCTTATAATAAGAGGGACACGAATATGAATAGTTTAGTTACTTAACAATTATACAATAGGAAATATAAATATCACATTGGTCCATAAATAGCCCTCAGAGTTAACATCTATAATTCTCCACGGGATATAACATAAGTAGAATCACAATTACACAAATCATTCATTCGAATTCAATTGCGATAGAAACATTCATTCAACATCAGTAATAACCACCGTTAAATAGAAGTACAAACCTAATAAAAATGAGACTATATAATAGATGTATGAACATTTAATATGAAGTGATAATCAGAAGGGTTTTTTTGTGGAGATTTCAGTATTTTCATGGTTGAAATCATGAGTCAATTGAAGCTAGATCACCATGGAAAACATGAGAGCACTCGACGGCCGTTCCATACTATTGTAGGACGCCTCAGCAGTGCGCATCCATGATCCCACCTCGCGAGATTCGAGCCCAGAACCTACCAGTCTCGCACCAGAGCACTTAACCCATAGACCACTAAGCCGGCATTCGATAGTGTTAATGTCTAACTTCAACCAATCCACGAAGTTAAGCAACCGTTCACTGATTGTCTTCAGTGAGTTCCTATCATACAACAGACGTGGTTTGAACTCAACTGATCACTGCTTCTCACTAGAACTCCAGGAAATATCTCTTGAAGTGATACTCAAAAAATAGTTCATATTAATGAATATAAACATCTAAAAAATATTTTGATTTCACTTAAACAAAGCAATAAAAAAATGGTTTTGCTAATTGTCAAATTAACTTTTTTTTGAGTCATAAAACATAAAAAATTTGATGAAAGTATCTTCCCCTTTTCTATCTACATATCTAAATATGACAATTCATGAAATGCTTTGTATACATTAAATGAATTGATTTATTGATAATGTTTAACTACGTAACTAATTGTGTGATTTTGTTTTTAGTAAGTTAATCAATTTAAGATTGTCTTTCAAAATATTATTTCTAACATGTTACACGTATAAAAAAATAAAAGATCTGAAACGTTATAATTTCTGGTAAAAGTTTTCTTTAGCGAGTTAATTTTTCTACGGGATAGAGTCACTAATCCCATGCCCAACTCTCCTCCTTTATCCGGGCTTGGGACCGGCAGTAGACCCCGGAGGAGCTACAGGCGGAGTTTAAACATTATAATAGCTAAACTATTTTAGTGTTTATAGATAAGGTAAGATGGGATTAGTCCAATCAACATCAGTAAAGTATACATTACAAGATGTGAAAATTCTACGCTCAGTTCTATTCACAGTTTACGAAATAAACTACTAAAGAGTTTAGTACTAAAACAAAGCACCAATTTAATTCTTTTTTGTGTTTTAATAATTTTCTAACTAGTTTTAATCTATGATGGGATATTTTAATGAGAAGAAAAAAAGAGTGCTTTCATTAAACGAATACATTACAAAAGTAGACAACGTAACAACATCAATCTGGAGAATTTTTTCTAAATATGCCAGCTGTATAATGTGTAGTTTTTTCGTTTCAGAAACTTTACTCCTCTTGATTAAAAGTTTATTACTGAATATTATATCAAAATGTGTATATTCTTTTTCTAGTATTTTTGAATTTCAAGTTGATGATTTATTGTAAACTTTATTAATTTATCAAGAATTTGTAAAAATGAGTTCATAGGTGAAATTATGAGTCAATTGAAGCTAGATCACCAGAGAGAACCTGGAAGAAGTGGACGGCTGTTTCGTCCTATTGTGGGACTCCTCAGCAGTGCGCATCCACGATCCCACCTCACGAGATTCGAACCGAGGACCTACCAGTCTCGCTTAGATTGGTAGAAGTTAGACATTAACACCATCGGATGCCTTCTCAGTGGTCTAGTGATTAAGTGCTCGCACACGAGACTGATAGGTCATGGGTTCGAATCTCGCGAGGCGTGATCATGGATACGCACTGCTGAGGAGTCCCACAATAGAACGAAATGGCCGTCCAGTGCTTCCAGGTTTTCCTTGGTGGTCTAGCTTGAACTAAATCATGCTTTTCAACTATATATTATAAATGTTAAAAAAATATTTAAAAATCATAAAAAATTAGGTGTTACATAATTTCATCGGTAAATATTAGGATTTGGTTATTATAATAAGTCATATATAAATCCATTTAGCGATATATTGTCCTTAGGATTTTAATACCCGTTTATACTTTTGTGAGATAGAAGATCCTTTAAATGAGTGTTAAATACACTTACATCAGCGCAGATTAAGAAACTGCACAGACTTGGTGAAGATCTAATTTCTCTCATCTATGTTAAATAAATTAGCACTATTTTAATAAATATTAGATTTTCAAATGAACTGTTTGTTAAAAGAGGCATTTTAATGAGCTTATTACCAGTGGTATATAAATTTGCATTTATGCAACTAAAAAAGAAACGTATATCGATGACCTGAAATTGTTTTACTGATTACTGAGCCAATCTATTTACGCTACTTATAAGTAGCATAAATATAGTTTGTTAAATTAATCAAAGAGTCCTAATTTGTTCTGAAAACGGAAGTAACGATCAGATTGTACGTAATAAGTTCATGATACTCTGCATAATTATGTCAACTGTGATCGAAAAAACGTCTATATATTAGTAACTTATCAGCTTCTTACAAAATACAAAGTTTTAATATTTAAGGTGTTTTCTAACAAAAAATACCGCCACAAAAGTAGCAAATTAGAAGTCTCATTATATATTATCAAGGTCAAAGATTAAACTATTTCACAAAATGAACATCAATATATGTATGTACATCTTTTTACCAGACAATAAATAACCCTTTCTAAATCAACACAAGTCTATATAGTATATATTAACATTATTAGACTTGTCTGTTTATACCAAATATTTGTTTCATTTCTTTGTATTATTACCTGGTACTACTGCATATGGTAATTTGAATAGGGTTGTTTCTTGTTTGCATAAGACTCACATACTTTCTTTTTGTGGTATCCAGATCCCATAAAACCGTTGTTACTTGCCATTTTTAAAATTGAACTATAGCTTTTCCTATAGAATTTCACCCAAGAGAATTCTTAATTTTTCTACTACTGGGGTCGAAGATGTTTCTCCCTCATAGGTTTGTTACTTTTTAAATATGTCGATTAATTGTCTTGGTTTTAAGAGTATTGTCAACATATGCATATGCAAGAGCGATCAGTAGAATTTATTCTTTCCTACAAATCTTTTGAACAATATTTGAATTCTCAACCAACTTTGGCTTACAAGAGTATAAGGAACTGTCTGTGTTCAATGAATACAATATAGGAATAATTCTCAGAATAGACAGATTGTATGGCTTTCTTACTGTCGACTTTACCAACTAGTCACAAACCTTATTCATTAATCCTGCGTAATAAATAACTTCATGTCCCGGATAATTTCAGTTAAAAGAATAAAACAAGTATTTGAGTAAGAAAGTATAATTCCATATAAAATGTCTCAAGAAAAAAGAAAATTATAAATACTAACTAAAAAACATATAAATGTGAGGTATATAAGTACAGACTTTCAACAGTTTTGCTAAGATTTAAGTTTAGGGAAAAATTTCCAACCTGAGGCACTCTCAACACTTTCAACAGGAACTTTAAAACCATCCACTTTTATTTGTTCCGGTAAACGAATATTTGGCATTACCCAAGCTACTTTATGCCATTCCCCGTTTGGTTTATTTTGAATAGCTGCCACTTTGAAGAAATGAGTTGGAACTGCAATATTATTGTTACCAATTACTTCATAAGTCACTATTTTCTTGCCATTTACATTTCTGAAATAGTATTGAAAAATAGTTTTAATTAACAAAACGATTAGAGATTGGACAGACCAAATAGAAAATTATGTTTAATATTGCACTTGTGGAATGATGAATTGATGGGTATAATAAGACTAATATACTGACAAATCATTAATGTTCGAGATAAGAACTGTTGAACTTATTGTGAGCCTTAGTAGGTATGCTGATCACGTAAGAGGTATGTATATCTTCTTCTTTGTAATAAAGTACACAATTATATCAACTGCACTCTGATTGGTTAATAACTAAGTCATTTTCAGAGTTGTTCAAAGTTGTCAGTATAGTATAGTTTCATCATTTTAATAGCATTAACTGGTGGAATGATTGAACTCACCTTCATTTTGAGTAGTCAGGGTGCCATTATTCTTCCTTACCACATGAAAGGTATGGCTGTAAGTCGAGTAGATGAACCTTTGCTAAGTTACAGACATTGAATTTCAATAAAAAGTCAATATCTATGTACCTTTACATTATTTAGCAAAAGAAACCTTGGATTCCTAAACGAAAACAGCTACTAATCAGTGGCCTGAATTATAAAATGATTCAATCGAAATTGTCAGTTATACAGCTTGTTCTTCTGCATTCAGCAATCTCAAGATCGATTGATGTCAAGATCAAGTTCAACACAAAAAATAATTAGTATTCTACAACCTGAGATTGAATAAAATCGATGAGTTTTGCCAGGGTTAACTAAATTGCTTGATACGTCTAGATACATTCCAGATTTAATTAAAATTACTATATATATATAATATAATTCTTATTATGAAAAGTAAGCTGAGTAGTCAGACATTAAAATGTAATCAAATTACTTACTGAGGTAGAAACAATGGTCCTGTAATAACAACCATATTGTGTGACTTTCTTGCAACCGCACGGATATACTTTTCTAGGCTATTCCAACCATGCCGATTGAAACCATACCCAACCTGGATTAAAAGTGAAACAATCCATACGTGAACAAACATCGTCTATTAGAAAGCTTTGTCATATACTACTGGAAACATAAAATCAACTTAACGATACTAAGAGTACCAGAAGACGACCGTTTATCACTAATCCTCTCAATCAGTATGTAAGCGATAAAATTGATAGATCAATGAGTGATAACCACCTAAAGATGGTAAATGATTACCGTTTCGTAATTTACTTGTATTTTTGAGAGAATTACTTATTCACCTGTATATTTCTCATTTGTATTTTTTAAAAACAGCTTTTAGTGACCCCATATCTGACTCCAGTTAGATCTTATGATGCTTGTTATTAAAATATACATGCCGCCAATCGTCGTATATTTTTATCGACTCAATTAGAGAATAACGGTATAAGTCAAATACGAGAATGAATTTCGAATAAGTATATTTCGCACACTCATTGATCCAGACAGACAATTAGAGAAACGAAGTGAAGGAAAAGAAGCGAAACAAAGTGGAGGGCAGCGCAGAAGATAAGGGAGCCAACTCGTTTTGATCAAGCATGACTCAATATTTATATTCAGATAAAAATAAGTTACAGACACGTAATGAATAGGGTGAGCAACTAACACACATACGATCATATAAAAAGTCAGGGTTAACAAGCTAATAATTGACATGGTCGGAATGTGGCTTGACAAAAACGAATAAATTGGTGTCCAGAAGCCAGAATAACCTAGATGGGCTTGACATGGTGCCAGCCACTACAAGCTTTCGGGAACTTTCTATGAAGTGCGTAAGTTTAACCTGAGACACAGACTCTTTCTGTAATGTGTAGATGGTTAATAAATTAATGCTTTGTTTTAAAATTCTCGAAAAAAAAAGAAAAAATTAAACTAAGCTCCAATATTAATACCTACTTGAGGTGCAATATTGCTTAATATAAAAGTCTGTCCCATAGCTGAATGGCTAGTGCGATGATTTCCTGCAGCGGCCAGATGACCACGATCATATCCAGAGTTCAAATAATCTTTGTTAGTAGAACGAAACATTTCAATTTCACCAAGATCTTCATAGAAATCGAAATCCTTACTGTTATTTTTCAAAACAAATGTAAGAGTTTAAAAGAACAGGGTCAGTTTTCCTAATGTAAGCTTTATCATTCTCTTACAGAAGTTATCACCTAGGAAAACAGGTAGGTATTTTTCTTTCTTGCATAGTTTTGCAACATTTATAATCGTCTTTAATGGACGCTAAATTTTGTGCATACTATATTCCACTAACTTTGGTCTAGTCAGGAGTTTCGCTTTGAAGTAGTTTCCTTATTTCCCGATGAGGTATGTTCGGCATTAATTTGATAAAAGCAATTAAACTTTTTATTTTTCTGTTCAAGTTGGTATATAAAAACCTACGTAATATTCAAACGTTAGAAATGACTTAAACTGATATTTGATATCTTCTTACTCAAATTCGAAAATACGAGAAATTCTCAAACTGGATTTACGCTTCATTGAAAATAGCATTTTGAGAGTTTTAAAGTATAAAATCAAGCTCAACTTAAGCACTGTGCAGTTTGAATTCTTAATAACTTCCTCCCATAGTTATGTCAAGTGAACTTGTATACACTTGGGAATTCTAGGAGGTAACAAACTCATTGATAGACAATTTTAGTTAGTTTGTTTTGATTTACTGGCTTCTGAGATAAAAAGAAAAAGAGTATTATCGGGTCTCCAAGCTGAAGAACTTCTGTATCTTTTTGAAACGTTGGTTTTGTAATAAGTTGCATAGTCTCTCTTACATCAAGTCTGTATTAACCTATTTTGCTATTATTCGATACAAAATACAACAGTTAGGATAGTTTGAATTACTGATTATTCAAGATCCCTACCCGGTCTAAAACGTATTTCAAGACATATTAACATTTCGTATTTTGACGAAAATGATATTCAATAGTAGCCGACCTTGAGCGCTGGAAGCTCAAAAGTATGCCACATTAATAAAATGACAGAAGTTCAAAGTTCGCAAACCACATAGCTTTTAGTAGGATTGTTTTCTGAGCTGGACAGTATAATTACGAAGCTTTCATTGCTCTAGACGTCATGAGTACCTACCTTATGTAAGAGTAAGCTTGTTACGATTCCACAAGTGTTAAATCGGTCTACTTTAATGATCATCCTGCTGAACAGTTGTTTTCACAGATTTTGTAATTTCATTTATTTTGGAGCTTTCTTTAGCCATCTTGTTCAGTTAACCTCTGATTATGTGAATAGTTCATCGTCTGCTTACATTTAACAATATAACTTCCCATGAGATTCATTAACAGGAAATGTGAATTTATCTACTAGTTGAGGGGACAGTCTGTTCTAATTCTAAATAATAGTAATATCATCATGCGCTAATTTACAGGCTATTGTAATACAAATTTATGGATTTATAACTGGAGAGCCTTAAGATGTGGTTGTTGAAAACAATTTTTCGTCCAGATATTGATTTTTGTGAATATGCTATAAGAGCTATTTAAATAACTGCTTTTGTCTTTGCAAAATACAATCTTTAAATATTTGGGAATGAATGAGTAAAGTTTTAGTCTAAAGCAATTCAATCGGTGGTCGTCAGTGATTTCCATATTGTCCCGGTTACATCTGACTGTTAAATAGAATTTCTTTTATATTTTAATTGACTTTGAATTCTTGCTTAATTCAGTCCTCTGGTCTATTTTCTTTCACATGTACTTGAACCTTAACGGATAGGCTTCTTTTCAGCTCAATTTGTATCTCTGTTAACCTTTTAAGCTTGTAATTCTGATTTTGGGATGTCTATCAACCACAATATATATCAAAAACTCTTGCGATTCGTCTTTAAATATCTTCCTTTTTGTATTGTGTTGTGGATTAAGCTATTTACTACAATACCATACATTCCCAAGTATTAACAGTTGTTCATGAAAAATACCTCGGATCCGTTGGTCAGATACTATCAGCAACAACCTACTGTGAGAGAGAGAACAAACCAGACTCCAGTTGAGGAAGAAGAGCTGGAAGTAGATAGGACACACATTGAGGAAAGCACCCAACTGTGTCACAAGGCAAGTCCTCACATGAAATCCTCAAGACCAAAGGAGAAGAGGAAGACCAGAGAACACATTAGGCCGAGAAATGAAGACAGACATGAGAAGAATGAACAACTACTGGATAGAACTAGAAAGGAAAGCCCAGGATAGTGAGTTGGAGAATGCTGGTCGCCGGCCTATGCTTCATTTGGAGTAACAGGCGTAAGTATACGTTTTCAAGTAAAGCATGTTAGTTAAGAGTTGATATAAAAACGTCCTTTAAACTGAATTAGACGAAATTGTGTTATACTCCTTAACATCTGGGTAGACAAGTTGGCTCAAAACAAGGTGATGAAGGTTCCAGTAAATATACTAAATAAGATACTCATGGTTTAAAATTTCATTCCAGGTGTTAATGAAATAAAAACATACCGCTCTACTCCAGCCTTATCAATATCATCTTGATGTAGTTTAGCAGGGTTTAAATGTTCCATTACCCAATATGGAATTCTGTTGCGACGATCATAAACACATATATAGCCGTCAAAAATACGAAGATGACTTGATGATGGTATTCCCAAAGTATGAAGAGCGTCATTGTTTATTGGGAGGTTTGGAGCGCCGACAAGAGAAGGGTAGATGATTTCAGCTGCATTTACAGGCTGTGAGAATGAAATATTTGGAACTTTCGATTCTAGAATAAAATGGGTGAACGTTGCACCAATTGATATGTACACGCCAGCTTTCAAGATCTCATATTTTCTCCAACACCGATGTATGCGTTTCAGGATAGATTGCATTTCAGTGAGTGCTGAGCCACTACTACATAAAGAAAGTACTCTTAGTTACGAAAGAACTGATATCGTTGTCACAGATAATACAAACAAACAGGAGCCAGACACTACTGGTTTTGATTTAAATAATATAGTTCATACCTTAAAAAAACTATTAAATGGTAGAGACTTAGAGGTATACTTACCAAATGATAATGTAAGGGCTTGTTTAATAGAATTAATGTCTCAATTTTAGGAAATCAATTAAGGACTTATTTGGTCCCAATATACTACCTTGCAGGGTCCCATGTTTGCTTACTAAGACATACTAATGGTGATATTTGATTACAGATATCTTTCCTGCATAATACCACTTTTACCATAGAAATATCAGTCTATAATAATTACTCGAGATACTGCAGCACCAAAAATGAAACCTACAGACACTTGAAAGGTTATTTTCCAGCAGAAGTATATTTGTTACTCTCATCACTTTAACATGTTGAAGACTGGCTTCAGAGTTCTCTATAAACAATAAGCTTTCAGTTTAGTTAGCATACTCATTAGGTACCTGGATATGAGCCACATTAAGTGTGAGAGCTAGTGGTGCCACTCATTCGGCCAAACTGAAAAAGGCAGGGTGGGGTTCGAACCCAGAGTTAGAACGCCCCAACTACTAGGTCCCCGCAGTAGCTTAAGCTAGTAGTCATACTCACTGTATCATAACTGGCGATAGGTAGGTCAATCCAGCTCCAAATTCAATAGTTGAAAGTTAAACGATATATACATATTGTGAAGGCTAATTTCAATATCACTGGTACCATAGTAACCGAAAAAGCACTAATAGAGAGTACTTGTGTAATAAAAGATTATATTCCTAATTCCCAAAATAGCAACCGCATTATACTCTCAATTAATAATTCTATCCACAACGATCACGAACGTAAACGTTTATGGCGGCGTTTTTTCAGTGCATCCAGTTTAACTGGAAAGAACAAAATCACTTCGTCAGAAATTCTAGGAAGCAATCTTGACATCCATCCATTCCCCGTTGCTGATGAATTTAGTCTTTCCTATGAATGATAGAATGGTATACACAATAACACTAAGCCTACATTACCAAAGAAAAGCATCTTTTGACACTGTTTCCCTATCCTGATGGAAAATGCTTTTGATAAACAATCTTGAGAAACATAACGTTATACATTTGGAAGGATAAAATTAGATGATCCGTCATTCAGTTCATAGACACACCTTTGGACCACTAATCATTATTTATACTAGTTGCATCACGTAAATTACTTTTCAACCGTTCGTAAATACTATCAATCAGGTTTTGATCTACTTAACGATGGTTTAAAGATGAAAAAACGCTAACCGTCAACAGAAAGCTGATTCATAGAACAGTATTATTCAAATATACTGCCTTAACATAGTACGACGATGTGTATTAAAGGAAAACGACTATATCGTAAATAGGTCGTTTATCCGTCATGCTACGGAAATGAACCTCTGAAGTGTTATTCTTACACTTCGCTCATCAACTGATGGTTAAGGCAGATGACTAGCAAAGTATAGAGAATGATATCGGGCTATTGAAAGAAAAATGTAGGGTTTTTAATGCTGATGAGATCGACAAGTAAAGTACTTGAGAAATTCAGGCATACTGAAAAGTCTCGAAGAAAGGCATGATTTATTTGGATGACTTCGAAAAAAAGTCAAACAGCCTGTACATAAAGGTTTGTATCAATAAACTCATTTTTAGGTTTAAATAAGAGAAGTTTGAAACATCTTTGAGGGTGGGATGAATATACACATTAGTGGAGTCGCATTCGTTCTTCTTGAAGTTTAACCATTCGATCGAGACGGGCCATATTCTTTGTTTTGTCAAGTGGGAAAGAAGATATAGAAACTGATTTGGAGGTTGAACTAGAATCGCTTTGGTTTGACATCCTCTGGGCGACATGTTCGCTGTAGCTAAGAATAGATGGTTTAGAAGACCGCGAAGAGATTGAAATTCCGCTGTCACTACTTCGGTTGAGCTTTCCAAATATGTGGGGGTTACTCGTAGTTTGGAATTGTGAACGTTTTGAATAGGATAAATCTTCACTTAAAACTGGTGGACATAAAATAAGAGGGTTATGAATGATGACAAGTAATTAAGTCATATTATGTACATTTCAAAGGTAAAACAAAGCGCATTCCTTGAAAACAAACAAATGAGTACAGAAGGCAGTGGGCTTGAATTCTGATTATGAGACAAACAGTAGGGATTTATTAATATATTCTGGGAATAAACCTTTAAGTAAGAGGACTTCCTGTTAAGTGTAGTTGTATTCAGTCATTATTAGTTGACACAAGGCATCCAAAAAAGCTTTTGTTTAGTGTATTAATGACCATAACTGCACTGAGTGTCAAGTAATGCTCTGGAGGAAATGTGCATTAGGAACTGGAGAAAAAGATATAGAATAATTTTTAAATCCTATGTAACTGAGTTAACCAACATTAGCAGTTTTTAAATTAATAATAGGACGGTCCCAGTAGGTCACTACGATTTATTTTACATTGCCTACGTCTATTCCTTTAAAATAAATAAGATAGTTAATATAGCAATTCTGGCAATTGTTTAAGTTTTAGTGATCGAGACAGCTTGGTGCTTCAGCGAACTGAACTCGTCAGTGTTACAGGTGGAAATCAACCAGCCACCATGGTCTAAGCACTCAGTACCATAATTGTAAGATTTTTTATTCACTATACCATACGCCATAATCAAAGTTTACATTTAAGTGCATGATACTGTGAAATTTTTCGAACTGTACTGACCTATTTTTTGGTACCGTAACTTATCACTGTGGGAGACCTGTGATGTGGGTCTTTTTTCGGAAACTATGACTAGTTGCATGCATATGAGTGTAATAAGTGCAAATCATTTTGACACGCTCTGTCCAAATACAACAGCATTAAAGGTGGTTGAAACAAATGTTTGTAATTACTTCTTAATTACAATGGTAGCAGTAAACCTGTGGGAGCTTGTGAGATTTTATATTTGGACGTCATATTGTCCACTCTCTCGCACTACAATTAGAGGGAAGTGGTGGCTTGACGAGAACGTGGCAACCTGAAGACTTCATTTCATTCCATTATTAAGTACTAATAATAGTACTTCACTTTTCAAGCGCGAATGTTCATATTATAATTCATGGGCAACCTTGAAGCCGTGCCAACGTGACATTCAGTAAGCTCGTCTACTCACAGGGTCAAAAGAGCGTTTTGGATTAGTGTGTGAAATTATGATTAACAGCTAAAGGTTAGGTTAGAGTTTTCATTACAAACTGATCAGCTACAATGGCAAAATCTCGCTTAACCATACTGATGGATGAAATTCTCGCCATAATTCAAGACTTGCTATCTTTAATTTCACTGACTCGTCCATAAATTACAGTCTTACCGTGTCGACTTATCATTCAAATCCACAAAATCACATTACTTCGGTAGGTGAAACCTTCCTATCAACGCGTGATGATACGACAATGACCGTCGAATTAATATGAATAATGAACTAACGGCTGTAAAAATGGCCGAAGGACTAGTAATTAGGTGAGTTGAAATCTAGTTTACTATTTGAATAATACATCTTTCATTAACTTTGTTTTGTCATTACTCACTAGTTAGGACAAAATTTCCGAATAAAATGTAATTGGCACATAGATAAAAAGCGCCCTCTTACGTTAGGAATCTTGAGAGGAATGACTATGAAAATACTAATAACAAACCTGAACAATCAAAAACATATGCACTTACTTCTTTTCATGTCATCTGCCAAGTATCTTGGAAGCATATAGTTGTTTTGGAAGAGACTGTCAACCGGAGAACTGTCGCAAACATCTGGTTGCATTAAATCGAAACTACTAGATGAGGAACTTGTAGGTACACAATCACCGTACGGGTGGGAGGAGTCGACACCTTTGAACGAACTTTCATCGTCCCCACTTTTGACGTCCATACCAAACAGTTCGTCAAGAAAACCACGAACCGTCTGAGATTCTTCGGATGCACGATCATCTACACCTCTACAAACTAAAGACTGTCAAACAATAACTTTACCTTACGTGATAACTGTAGATCAGAGTATGCTGAAAATGGGTATGAACACTTATTTGAGGAGCAGATTCCATTTATTGAACCAGAAGATGATTTGACTTTTAATAAAGGTACTGAAAAGCCGGAACGCATGCATTCTGGACAAAAACTCTCCATCTCGCGGCAAAATTTTGCATAAGGCGCGTGAAGTTCAATGTTTAGCATTTGACTACGATGAAGTTGAGAAAAGAAGGTTCTGAGAGTTTTATTCGCAGTAGTATATAGAATTTCTCAATCTCTCACTTTACTGTTATGTGCTTTTTCAGATAAAAGTCAAATCTATTTGGTGCACGTTTTAAAACATGCTGGTTGATTCAATTTGGTTTTGTGTATTCATTGCACCAAAAGCATACCCGGTCTGCCTTAACTTGACTTGTTAAGGTTAAAGTTTGACACATTCTCCGTATCTGTTTTGTGGCACCCATTTTTCGTTGTTTTCCACACTTGTAATTACCTTGCTTATATTTGTCGATTTTTCCCGCTTAAATTCTGTTTATTGAGGTTATCTGTACTCTGAGATGTGAGCAGAATAATTTTTCTTCCTTCTAGAGGGGATTGCATTGTGGTGGGTTCAAAAAGTGGTTCCACGAGCTATGTACCCGTTTAAATTCCAGTCCACATAAAAGATGCTCGGTAGCTAACTCTCATTGGCTTTGGAGGTTTAACTGTTCAAGTAAAACACTACTGATCCAGGAGACGATGAGCCTTCAGGCGCTTGACAGCGGAAAGTTTGATGGTGGCTGCGCTGGTTACATGGGTACTGAATACGAAGAATGTGGCAGTATAGTAAGTGTTGTTAAGAGATGAGCCAAACACCCAATCACGAAACATGGGACGGAGAAGTTTCTTTTAAAACAAACAAACGGTAAAGTATCGTTGAGTGCTGATGGAAAACGGAAAGCCAATCGCCACATGTGGTAAAAGGTACGTTTACCTTGACGTCGGTTTCCTCAAACCCATTCACTGAATCTTCGTTGAAGTAGATGTTCCTATGCCAATCATTCGTATAGACCTCCTACAACACCACAATCTACTCATCGATACGCGCAAACGGAGGCTGATAGACAGAAACACTAATTTATCTGTTTACGTAACTTCGTTTGCCGGTTGCAGACTATCCCTAGTCACAATTAGGCCCACAATAGACTCATTCTAGCAACCATTACTTGATAAGTACTCTGGGACATATCAACCGCAACCGAAATTTCCGTGTGTAACCAGAAATGTTACACATCACATCACAACCACAGGACCACCTGCGTTCTCGAAAGCACGCCAACTGGCTCCCTAATAGCTAAGGTTGGCCAAAAACGAATTTGATAACATGATAGAGTTAGGAACCATTCAACCTTAAACAGCACATAGGCATCTCCTTTGCACATGGTCCCTAAAAAAAGCAGCGATTGGCGCTCAACTGGTGACTATCGGCGTTTGAATGAGGAAGCCATTCACAATCGTTACCCGTTGCCTCACATTCACGATTTGACAGCTACCTTGAAAGATACAACAGTGTTTTCGAAAATGGACTTGGTTAAAGCCTATAGCCAAATCCCTATGGTTACTAACGATATTCCAAAAACCGCTATCATCACTCCTTTCGGACTAAAAATTTTTGCGGATGACTTTCGGCCTAAGAAATGCTGTCCAGACTGTGCAAAGGTTCATAGATGACGTTTTTGAGGTATCAGCTTCGTACATGCGTATGTTGATGACTGCCTGATAGCAAGTCCGGACAGAGAATGCCATCATCAGCATTTGGACATTGTGTTCGAACGACTGCAGAAGCATAGCATCACTGTAAACATTCAGAAATGCGAAATCGGAACCAACTCGTTATATTTACTAGGGCATACTATTGTTGCTCATAACATCTGACCTCCTAGAAGCAAAGTGGCGGCCATTCTGGATTGCCCAGAACCGACCACGATTAAACAATTGCGCACATTTAACGGTATTGTAAGTTTCTATAGACGGTTCGTACCAAAATGCTCATCCCTTATGAAACTGCTAACCGACCAACTCCGTGGAAATGCAAAATCCATTAATCTGGCGACACTGCGCGAAAAGCGTTCTCCACAGTTAAGGAACTTATCGCAAAGGCAACCATGCTGGCACATCAGGACACTCAATCGCCCATCAGTGTCTCAGTAGACACATCCGACCCAGTAATCGGAGGAATCTTACAACAATGGGTTAACCACTCTTGGCAACCTTTGGCATTTTTCTCCAGACGGTCGCTAGACACTGAATCGATGTACATCATTTTCGGTAGGGAACTCCTAGCTATGTGCTATTGTGCTGTACGGCATTTCCAACATTCCATCGAAGGAAGAGTTCACACTTTTTACCGATCATAAACCTCTTACCTTCTCTTTAAGTTCATCTTCAGACAAGTACTCACCGTGAGAGTCTCGACAACAGGACTACATTTCGCAGCTTACTTCAGATATACAACACATTTTTGGAGCAAACAATGTAGTTGCAGACGTCTTGCCTCGTATAACTTCCTTAAACAGTTTCTAAGGAATCGACCTTTCTAAACTCACACAGCTTCAAAAAGAAGATACTAGTCTTCAGTAGCAGTTACATTTGATGACTCTAAAACTGTGCGTAAAAAAGGGAACAAATAAGGAGATCTTACTGTATGACACATCCACAGGTAAGGATCGCCCAATCGTGCCGAAACATTACCGACGCAACGTCTTCAATACGTTGCACAAACTTTCTCATCCAGGTGTTCGTGCGTTCATCAAGCTTATAGTAGAACGGTTTTGTTGGCCTGGTATGAATAAAGACGTGAGGGGGTGGGCACGATTCTGTGTAAGCTGCTAGAAGTCTGAGGTGATTAGACACAACAAATGTCCCTTAGGATCGTTCAAAACTCCTGACACTCGTTTCGACCATGTCTGGTAGGATGCTTACCAGATTCAAACGGATATCCTTTTCTTTTAACTTGCCTAGACCGTTTCACTCGATGGGCAAAAGCAGTACCCATTAAAAACATTACTGCTGAAAAAGTGGCCCGCGCCTTCGTCGAATGAATTTCGGCTGGCCTTCAAACATTACTACAATCCGCGGACGCCAGTTTGAATCTGGACGTTCCCGTTGTCTGACCACACTGTTAGAAATCACTCGCTTCTTAACAGCGGCCTACCACCTACAAGCAAACGGTTTGGTAGAACGTTTTCACTGACAACTAAGAGCTTCACTATCAGCTGTAAACGTTTCACAATGGAGTGCTTCCACTCGTTTCACTAGGTATTTGCAATGCAGTGAAAGCTGACTTTGAATACACTTCAGCTCAACCCGTTTACGGAACGACAATTCGACTTCCAGGAGAATTCGTGAATTCTTCAACTTTTTCAATGAACATGGATCTAAACGCCTACACAAGCACGCTTACAAACGCAGTGCGTTCAGTTAAATCTGCTCCACTCGACTGCAATCAACTAATGTTTTCGTTCAACCTGACTTACGATATAGTACACATGTCTTCGTACGTCGGAACTCACATCAACGACCCCTCGAACCAGGATACAAGCGACCCTTCAACGTTCTTTAAGGCGAAACTAAGTCCTATATAGTCGATAGGAACGGCACTGAAAATAGCGTCAGAATCGATCGAATCAAAGCAGCGTATTTAGAAGGAAATCCTATTCGCGTAGATTTTCCTTCTGTACAATGGAACGACACGACTCATACACTTGTAATATTTCATCTGACAGCCAACACGCGTGTTGATACTTTGGTAGTACTTGAAAATTAAATTGAAACAAGAGGAGCAAGATTTCCAGAACATTTAGAAGACTATCACACGTAAAACACCAGATAACATTTTGCCTTATCTCGATTTTCCTTTGTATTATATACAAAAATAATTTAATATGCCTATACTTATATATTTATTTCAAAAAAGGAAAAAAAAACAATTTTTTAAAATATTGCTTACACTTAATTTTTTTCTTTAAAAACCCGAAAAAACAGTTCTTTAAAAATCGCTTCTACGCTATCCCAGATGTATGAGTTTATTTACCTTATTTTCGCTCACTTTGCGTCTTTAGGCACGTACGAGTGTATTTCGAGATACACCTACATATTCTACTTTTTCTTTTCCAGGACGGCTTGAAAATACGATAAAAAGAAGGATGAATTTTACGAGGAACCGAAAATTTTATTGTACTCTATTTCCTTATTATTATGTTGTACTTCATGGTCTCTTATGGTAAGGAAATACAACCAGAGACTGCTAAACATAGCAAGCTATCAGAAGAGTGTTTACCGACGACAAACTCGTTCGGTTTAAACTTCTGACTGGTCACTTCGTAGTGTCATCACCACTTTACTTAGGGGGGGAGTGATCTGTAGCGGTAAATACATCCCCAAAATCAATAACTCTAAGTGTTCGACATTGGATGCTGACCACATTAGTTTTAAATGGACTCATCTAGCTGAAGGTGCTCGGTCATGCATCCGCACCAGATCACGAGTGGGAACGCTGTGCTCAACTTCTCCTGCCATCATTAGCTAGTTTAGACCAGTCAATTCTGGATATGTTGATAACCTATCAAATGTATCTTCCAACCTCCTCGCTTCTGACTTTCGATTTTCACTGGGCGCGATTCTATTATAGCAGGCGTTGCTAGTAAAGTGTTGTCAGACTACAATACCTGTGGCGTCATCACTAGACACGTACATGGTCAGTAAAGATAACTCTACGGGGTTTCAGATAAAAAATTGTCAAGAATAGGTAAGAGGACCTATGGAAATGTTGAACTCCAACCAAAAGACTGCTTATGTTAAGCTTACGGTCCGATGAACAATAAAATCACATTACCGACATTTGAGTAAGATCTGACATGTTTCTATAAGACACAACAAGGAAGACGGCAGTTTTGAATGAAAGAGAAACGTGTCAAAGAATGGTGGAGATTATGAAAGCACAAGGGGATGTAGTTGCAGAACCTCTGGTATTAACGTTTGATATGTTTTCACAGCATTCCAGACTGTCAAGAGACTGGAAAGACGGAATTATCAGTTTGGTGTACAAGGCATGAGGCAGGAACTTATTTTGTGGCTATGGACCCATTAGTCCAACCAGTGTATTTGTTAAAGTAGTAGGAAATACTGTTGGGAAGGCTATTTTAAACTATATGGAAGGGCACAATCTTTTATCCAGGAAACAATACAGTTTTAGGAAAGGCCTATTGTGCTCGACAAATCTGCTAATTGCAAGAGGAGATTGGGCTGCAGCAAAAGTTGGTAATGTTCCGGCAGATGTAACTTTCATCGGTCTAAGTAAAGTCTT